ATGCCATGTCCCTATTACTGCCGCACCAAATGCGCAGAGTGCCTTGCACAGTACATTTCTCCTCTTGCTCTTGGATGCAACATCTTTTGAAAAGTACACCTTACTGTCTTCTGTAACTTTCTATGGCAAAACATCCTTCTAAACTAATCTGTACTGAATATCTGAAATACGTTCTGACCTGTTCAGAGTGACCTACTAAACTTTAACAGCAACTTGAACTGGACAGAAAACATTGGAAATATCTATTATTTATTGATAAGCCATAAAACCTCTAAAATTTCCATCTAGAACCTCTACTTCAGAGTTGCTGCAAAGCTTTTGGCAGAATTGATTCACAGTCCATTTTTTTTTTCTTTTTGGGCGGTCAATCAGTGGATGTCTATCTTGGAGTTTTAATACTGTATTTCAGTATTCATGATGAGAATGAAGTCTAGCTTTTACTATGACTTCAGAATCTCAATTTAAAATTGCTGCTTGTTGTTGTTTTGTTCTTTGTTGATAGTTTGGGTATCTGTTCTTACGGAAATCAAAGTAGTTTTTAAATTATTTCAGAGAAGTCTGACTGCTTGCTTTCAAATCAAATTTTATTTGGACTAAAACCTGGCAAGCCATGCTATGCTACTGCAGTTACTTCCACAATACACCAGCAAGGATGTGGCTTGGTGCTGGTGCCCTTGAAGTTTTCTGTCCTTTTGGAAAGGTGTCTGTCTGCAGGATCAGACTATGTGCTGAGGGAGGGCTGTGGGCGCAGCTTGCCTTTTAGCAGGGCTACACTGGTAGCCTACAATGAGATGCTATTCCTTCTCTCTGGGCCTCCATTTACTGCAAATGTCAGGTATAGCCCTAGCTGCAAGGGTATGCTCACATTTGTTGCCAGGGTTCAGAGCTTTTGTAGTTCTGGAGTTATATGTAGGATGCCAAATGGTTGGGCTGTAATTGGCGTATATGGCTCTCAGTGCTATAAAGGTTTCTGAACATAGGCCATAGAATCAAAATGTCTGGCCATGTACTAAAGCTGTAAACAAATGATAACATAATTCCTCCAAAGGAAGTGTATTTGTATATTGGTTCTAAGAAGGAAAATGATAGCGAGTGAAGATGTAACCTAAAAAACTTAAAATTCACTCTCTGAAAAGCATTCTTTTTGTGTGTGTTTGTTTTGTTTGCTTAAAGTTTTTACAAATACAAAAAGACTTTCTGATCAAGGATTGGTTGGAAGTCTTGCTAGAGTGCCGCTGGCTGATTAACCCTCATCTAGAATTAGGTTCAGTAGTGTTCTCTTATGTGTATCAACACAAAAACACATGATCTTTGGAGAATTAATTTATATCTCTGACAGAATAGGGAGGGAATCTTTGTGGCTGAATGACATCAGGGGACATGGTGAGAATATGCTGAAAAGTAGCAGCTCAAAAATAGTTTCAGTAGCTGAGACCAACAGATTCTCAGCATCTTCTCATTTTAGTGCCACAGCAAGAGCTTTACAAAAAAATTTCTCTTACTTTTTCTTCTAATCAGCTGTATCATGAAAAAAGTATCCCTTTCAGGTCTGTATCAGTAATATTTTAAGATAAATTTCCAGAAATAACAAGAAAATAAACTATTCTTTTAGCCCCCCCCCTCAAACATTCAGATGTTTTGCATTTGGTAGAAGTGAGGAAAGAGTAGTTCCACTCCAGCAGGTGAATGTTTTGAAGTGTAAATGTAAAGATTTACTGACATACACTGCACAGAACGTGTAACTGTTATGATACACTGACGTACACTGCAGCAGAAGGAATGCTACTAACTCTAGTCTGATTAACAGGCAACATTTCTTAAGGGAACCTGTTGACAGCAGGTGAGGTAATGCCTCACCTTTTCCTTCCCAACAGCTGTAGTGTAAGTCCTCAGTTTCCTTTCCCTACTTCAGACCTTCCAGTCTGAATTGAACGAGAGGTGAAATTTTAGCCTGGAGAGACATACTACTGCTATTCAAACTCATTAGCTTAGTGAAGAAATATGTGGCACCAGATGCTAAATTAGCATCTTCTCAGTGTATGTACCATGAACCCTATGCCACTGTATCCTTCTTGTCAATGTTACTTTACTCTTACTTTACTCTTCATAATAAGGCTAATCATTAAGTTTTGCCAAGGTCTGCTGAGCAGTTTTAACAAGAAGCTAAATTTCACTGAGGCTTTCTCAGCTTTCAGTGTATTTGGTCAGTGAGATACTGTACACAGCTGGGAGCTGCATGTGCTATATGGCTCCTTGAGAGCTGAAGAATGAAAATAGGCATAAAATCTCCTGCAGGAGTTATGGGAGCTACAACATTTCTGAAATTGCAGCTGAGCTGAGGTAAAAACTTATTGCAAAATCTGTTTGCATTACAGTGTTGTATTTATGGCAGCTAGCTTGCTGGCACTTATACTGATTTGGCTGGGGAATTCATTCTGGATCTGTCACGTTTGTTTGTGGTTTCTGCTGCCTTGTTTTCTGGAGTTATTGCTTTTTCACTTGTTTGACTCCAGGACAATGACTCTAAATCTGTGGCCCCTGGAAAGTTGGCCATTACCATGGTATTAGGTCTGCTTGATTTCCCACTGTGATCTTCAGGAAGAGGTACCTAAGATAAAGTAAATAGTTTTAAGATTAGATTTTCCATGTAAGTGATTATTATAATCACAAAAAGATTTCTTTGCCTTTGAAAATGGTGGGGAAAGATGATCCCTGAGGAAGCCCTGGTATAACTGATCCACTTTGCATCACTTGTCTGAGAAACTCTGTTCCTGAAGATTTTTACTCAGAAAATACACAGTAATATGTATAAGTCATGTATTACAGTAAAACAGAAGAAAAATCTGCATAGTAAGCTCTAGCAGAAGCAGAGGACTATACTTGCTCATCTTTTAAATCACATATAGTTCACATTATGCTTAACTAATGCCGCCTCCTCTGCCGATTTTTAGTATTGTTTTTCTGCTTTTACTTTCAGCTTCTTTTTGCCCTCCTCGGGAATTCTGTTCGGTGT